TGTGTGTGTGTGTGTGTGTGTGTGTGTGTGTGTGTGTGAAGATTTTTCATGCGCAGTGATACACATGGTCCCATGACTTAATTTGTCTTGGGCATGGTTTCTGGAGGTTGTTTGGAGTGGGGCACAGCAGCAGGACACCAACTTTTAAATAGATGCTATTATTATCCCATTTTACAGATGAAGAAAGTGACCCTCAGAGAGATTAAGTGGAATGCCCCAAGTTACACAGCTATTAACTGTCTGGGGCAGGATTCTAAACCAGGTCTTCCTGACACCAAGTCCAAAGCTCTATCCACTATATCATACTCTTTTTAATTTGGCTTTCCACCTTCAATCTTTTGGGAAGTAAGTGCAGGTCTATCCCTACTATGTAATAACCAATAATATGATCATCAATAGCTAAACAGATTCAAAAATGATATTTCATAATAGTAACAAGACAGTTTCATTTTGCTATAGAAAACATTTTCTTTGAGAACAAACTATAAAGACCTGGAATTGTTTCTACATACAATTTCCCAGTAATAATGCCATAGAAGTCATTTGCCTCTTACCAACAGAGATGAGTTCCCTTTCTAAGCAGGGTAATTATGTGGTTTGTAAAACTCTACCACAGTGCTACAGTACATGATTAAGTTATTTATGGTTTTGCTTGTATAAACCGACCTGGCCAGCCCCAGACAAAGCTCTGACTTGAGAAAAGTTGAAACCAGAAGACTTCATCTTCTCCAAGATTATATCCAAGGCCTAAAGAGAAAAACAGAATCAAGAGTGATTGTAATGAACTACAGAATTAGGCAAATGCACAATCCTCAAAATTAAATTTTAAGTGCCTGCCATTATGGATGAGGGTTCTGTAGCAGATAATGAAGAATTATCTAATGACTAGGGATTTCTTAAGCAGTGGAATAAATTAATTAAGTAAATAGGAACCAATCAAAAGAAAAAAGTTCAACTACCCCCAAAAAACTCTTTAAACAAGTTGAATTACAAATCACTAATCTTAAAATCCTCTTTTCCTCTCATTCTGTCTTCAAGGGACTCAGTAATATCAACTGCAGAGTGACCCAAATTTTGATATGAAAATATTTGGTTTTCTTGCTTCTTGAATAATCAATAACATGACTTTATAGGGAAATACAAGCAAAGTTTGAGGTTCTCAGTGGCCAGAATCATTGGTTCATAGGGTTTAGAGTAGAAGGAACCTTAAAAAATCATTATTTAGTCCTGTCTCCTCATTTCATGGGTCATAGGAGCATAGGTTCAGGGCTGGGATGGATCTTTGATAAGAGTTCATCTACAGATGAGGAAATGAGGGAGGCCCCGTCGTGTGAAGGGATTTGCTCAAGATCATAGAGATGGTAAAGTCAGAAGTGGGACTCCAAGCCAGGCCTTCAGACTCCTGATTGAATACTCTTTTCACTAAACCATGATACCTCTCTTACATCTGTTTTAAAATAGTCACAATCCTAGTGTTCAGGTCTTCATTGCTGCGTACCAAGCCAAATAACGACAAAAATAAAACCTTCAGGCTTACCCCTACTCTATTCCAATCAGTATTAATCAGTTTGATAATTTACATAAATCATATACGGATAATTAGATAAGTTCTTATAGCAGGCCTCAAACTTTCATGTAATGTTTACTGCTTATTTACCAGTTATGAAGCTCATTTGCACAACCACAAGAATTCTGACAAAGCTATCTCCACCCTGTTTCACTTAAATTCCATGTTTAAACCCAGCGTGGATGGGATGCCTTGATTCTTTGGAAAGTCCCCCAACTTACTTTTGTACCTCCAGACCACCCTCTCTTGCCCAGCATGAGCAGTGACCATCTTATGACCACTTGGTCACTGAAGATGACTCTTGCTTTGTCATCTTAATTTTTGGCCCTCAAGAACAAGTTCTATCAACCAATGAGATTCTGTATTTCACCAGACCTCTTTTGCATATTTGGGTATCAAACCCTATGAAAACAAGGTCCTAGGGACTTGGGACATTTCAGATCATGAGAAAGATCTGAGGTCCACTTCATTAAAGGAGACCGTGGACCCTTTAATAAAGTACCATTGACTCAGAGCTCTGTCTCAGTTTCTTTTATTGTAGGTTGGAAAATTTTAAACTCCACAGGCTAAAGAGAGAGTCAAGAGAGAGCATCCAGGATGGTAAAGGGCCCAAGTTAATGCCACATGCAGATCAATCCAAGGAATTGGGGATGTTTTACTTTGGTTCTTACCTTGACCCACATTAAAACAGGAGAAGTCACTGTGAGCTTGTCAGTATGAACGTGCACTCCACCCTGGGTCCTGGAGGGAAAAGTCAGAGAGTTTACTAGGGGAGACAAGAGGACAATGATTTCTTATAAAGAGAGTGGAGTTTGAGTTTATTGGCTCATTTCTCTGCTTCTAAAACAATTCCCTTGAACTGGACTTTTCCCTTCCAATTCTTTAACATCAGCAGGGAAAGAGATGTCCCAGCCTCCCCAAAGCCATATCTGTTTGTTGTTGTTAAGTCAATTTTTAGTCACATCCAACTCTCCATGACCCCATTTGGGCTTTTCTTGGCAAAGACACTGGAGTGGTTTGCCATTTCCTTCTCCAGATCATTTTACAGATGAGGAAACTGAGGTAAACAGGGTTAAGGGACTTGCCCGGGGTCACACAGCTAGGAAGCATCTGAGGCCAGATTTGAACTCAGGAAGATGAATCTTCGTGACTCCAGGCCTAGCACTCTATATATGCACTGTGCTACCTAGCTGCCCCACCCCAAAGCTGCATCTGCACAATTAGTTATCTGGATAATGTAGACACACACACACACACAAACACACACACACACACATACACACACACACACACACACACACACACCCTTTCAAAAAAATCTGCTTTCATAAGAAAAATGGTTTATTTAGCTTAGATTATCTAAATAGCCCATCTACTTGTCTCAAAATTCACCAGATAATTGCTTGGTACCAGGTTTTATTTCAGCTCCTTAGAAATGGCATGAAAGGAATCAGGGAAGTGAAAGGAGGAAAGGAGCAAAAAGAAAGTAGATATAAAAAAGGGGGAAATGGGATAGTATAAAGGAATTGTTATAAGAGGTAGTGAGACTGCGTAGTTGATAGGATGTTGGACTTGGGGTCAGAAAGACCTGAATTTGAATCCTGCCTCAAACACTAGATATGTAATCCTTGGCAAATCACTTAACCTCTCTGTCTCAATTTCCTCATTTGAGAGGACAATTAGAACACTCGACTTACAGAACTGTCATGAAATAACATATGTAAAATGTTTTGTAATCCTGAAACTGCTATATATGCAATTAGCATATATGTATGTGTGCATGTGCATGTGTGTGTTTGTGCGTGTGTGTGTGTGTGTGTGTGAGAGAGAGAGAGAGAGAGAGACAGAGAGAGAGAGAGAGAGAGATGCTGGCTATTAGCCATAGATGGGGCAGCTAGGTGACCCAATGGATACAGTGCCCAGGCCTGGAGTCAGGAAGACCTGAGTTCAAATCTGACCTCAGACACACACTATCTGTGTGACCCTAAACCAGTCACTTAACCCTACTTGCCAAATCCAGTCCCTAGATTGTTTTTGCATGACTTGAAAGCCAAGAATGGTTTTTACACTTTTAAACTCAATAAAATTTTATTTTAAAATGTAAAAACCATTCTTAAGCATATCTTTTTCTATATTTTTCTTGCTTCCCTTCACCCCAGAACATGTTTAATGCAAAACCATGCTTTGTATGACTTCATAAGTATAATGGGTATTATATTAATTGTTTTCCCAGTGGGTGGAGGAGGGGATGGAAGAAGGGAAAGAATTTGGAATTGAAAATTAAATTTTTAAAAAAATTTTTAATAAAAAAATATTCTTAGCTCATTGCCCTACAGAAACAGACAGTGGGCCAAATTTGACCTGTGGGCCATAGTTGTCTGACCCTTACCCAGGAGCAAGCAGAACAAATCAAATATCTCTTTCCCACAAGCCTTTAAATAATAAAATATAGCTATAATGGATCATCTAAGTCTCACCAGCTCTAAACAACCCCAGTTCCATTAACCATTAGCAAAAGCTTAATTTTTCCCCCAGCTCAGAAATCTTCTTTTCAGGTAGAGCTTAGTTCAGGTATCTCCCCTTCAGGCTTTCCATCCCAATGGGATCTCTCCCCTTTCCCATCTCTTACAACAATCTGTATTTCCTTTCCACCATACCGCATTCTAATTTATGTTCCATGTATGTTGTATTTCTTTCTGTCCCTTACTTATCTCAATTATTAGTCTCTTAAGGGCAGGAATCTTGTATTCTTCTCTGTCATGCTTCAATTTGTATTACAATTATTTCTAAAATTGTCTCTGTGACACTAAATCCTTTAAGAGATACCATCTCATTTATCTTCATCTCCTGTTTGGTGCAAAGTAAAGGACTTTGCACATAGTAGGCACTCAGTAAATGTTTGTTGAATTGATCGAAACTGACCTTTGAAGACTGGTCAGATGTCTTAGAGGAAACTGTGGCAAATATATGGCATGGTCTAAACCTAAGCAACAATTAAATGTTCATAATTTATATCTGGGCACTCACCCAATAGTCTTAAAGGAATTCATCAATGAAATTGAAACTATTGGCCAACTCTGCATGTTGTAACTTGTCACCAACAATCAAATCTATTGTAACTTGTCATCACTAACAATTGTCAATGAACCAAAGAAAAAAAATCCTCCTAGGGCACCTGGTCCATCCCCATAATTTTATATTTTTAATTAGTAAAAGTTTTTTTTAATGTAAATAGTATTTTATTTTTTCCAATCACATGTAAACATAGTTTTCAACATTCATTTTTATAAGATTTTGAGTTTCAAATTTTCTCCCTCCTCTCTCTCCTCTCTCTCCTCCCCAAGATAGCAAGCAATTTAGTATAGGTTATACACGTGCAATCACGTTAGACATTTTCCACATTAGTCACGTTGTGAAAGAGGAAACAGAACAATAGAAAAAAAAACACAAAAACAAAACAAAGTGAATACAGTATGCTTTGATCTGCATTCAGACTCCATCAGTTCTTTTTCCATATGTGGATAGCATTTTCCATGATGAGTCTTTTGGAATTGTCTTAGATCATTGCATTGCTGAGAAGAGCTAAGTCTATCATAGTTTATCCTTGCACAATGTTGTTATTATTGTGTACAACATTCTCCTGGTTCTGCTTACTTCACTCAGCATCAGTCTATACAAATCTTTCTAGGTTTTTCTGAAATCCACCTGCTCATCATTTCTTACAGCACAATAGTATTCCATTACATTCATACGCCACAACTTATTCAGTCATTCCCCAACTGATGGGCATCCCCTCAATTTCGAATTCTTTGCCACCACAGAAAGAGCTGCTATAAACATTTTTCACATGTACAACCCCCTCATTTTAAAGATAAAGAAAATGAGGGCAAGAGAATGGCTTGCAAACAATCATGAAGATTTTATATGGCAGGACAGCAATTGAACCCAGGTTCTCTGACTCCAAGGAGAATGTTTTTTCTGCTATATCATGCTAACCACTGGAGTGGTAAACTGGCTCTCCTGTATACTACTGACAAGTGGTTAAAATCAATACTTAGTGATAGAATCAATGAAAATATAACCAAATAGATCCCCCTCCCTGGACATTTCCAGCTGAGCTTTTTCCACTCAGGCTCTCACTTCTGTCCACCTACTTCCTAGTGGAAAATTGGGTTCTGCCCTTGGAGAGTCCTCCCTGGGCCAGCTATGACCTTATGCTTGCTCAGTTCCGGGCCTCCACATCATTCCTCTGACATGCCCACATATATCTTCCACCCCACCCCACCCCCAGTTCCCCTTTATGATATCTTCACCCATTATCTTAGTTCCTCAGGGGAAGGAACCATTTATCATGCTTTTATTTGTATGCCCAACTCTTAATACAGTGCCTAACACATAGTAAGTGCTTAATAAATGTTCTGTCTTTTGAAAGAAGAATAAAACAAATGTTTAAGGGAAATCTATTAGAATTCTTGAAAGGAGAACAAGTTGGGTTAGGTGAGTATAAATTACCTAGACTTGCAAAATGTACTTGAAAAAATTACACCAAAAAGGAGGTTTTAAAAATGAAGATTCCATAGGCATGTGAGAAAAATGGGGGGTTTCTTAATAGCATTTTTCCCAATTACATGTCAAGACAATTTTTAGCATTTATTTTTACAAGATTTTGAGTTCCAAATTTTTCTCCCTCCCTCCCCTTCCCTCTTCTGAAAGTGGTAGGCAATTTGACATAGGTTATACATGTGCTATCATGTAAAACATATTTCCATATTAGTCACAGTGTGAAAGAAGAAACAGATCAAAAGGAAAAAAAACACAAAAAAGAATAAAGTAAGTGAAAAAAGTGTGCTTCAATCTGCATTCAGAGTCCATTAATTCTTTATAAGGATATGGATGGCATTTTCCTTTATGAGTCCTTTGTACTTGTCTTGGATCATTGTGTTGCTGAGAAGAGCTGAGTCATTCATAGTTAATTATCACACAATGTTGCTGATACTGTGTACAATGTTTTCCTGGTTCTGCTCGTTTCACTTTGCATCAGTTCATACAAGTCTTTGCAGGTTTTTCTGAAATCTGCTTCTTCATCATTTCTTATTGCACAATAGTCTTCCATTGCATTCATATATCACAGCTTGTTCAGCCATTCCCCAATTGATGGGCATCCCCTTATTTTCCAATATTTTGCTACCACAAAAATGACTGCTATAAATAGTTTTGTACATGTAGGTCCTTTTCGCTTTTTTATGATCTCTTTGGGATACAGACCTAGTAGTAATATTGCTGAATCAAAGGATATGTACCATTTGGTTGCCCTTTGGGTATAGTTCCAAATTGCTCTTCAGAATGACTGGATCCATTCACAACTCCACCAACAGTGCATTAGTGTCCCAATTTTCCCACATCCTCTACAACATTTATTATTTTCTTTTTTTTGTCATATAGGCAATCAGATAGGCATGAGGTGGTGCCTCAGAGTTGTTTTAATTTGCATTTCTCTCATCAAGAGTGATTTAGAGCACTTCTTTATATGTCTATAGATAGCTTTGATTTACTCATCTGAAAACTGCCTGTTCATATCCTTTGACCATTTACCAATTGGGGAATGGCTTGTATTCTTATTAATTTGACTCAATTCTCTACATATTTCAGAAATGAGACCTTTATTTTTGTGGTGGCAAAGAATTGGAAATTGATGGGATGCCCATCAATTGGGGAATAGCTGAACAAGTTGTGAATGTAAT